TGGTGGTGGTGGTGGTGGTGATGATGATGGTGGTGGTGATGGTGGTGACATTGGGCCCCAGGCTCTCCTGCACACTTGGCAGATGTCACCACAAAGCTGCACCCACCCTGGGTTTTCTGGAAAAGCAGCTGCATTTCTGAATGCAGCCTCTGAGATGTCAGCCATGGCTCTGTGTCCCCCGCTCCCCATGCCTCAGAGACAGGGAGCAGAAGCAGGAAGCCTCGCGAGTGCTCCCTGGCTCACCTGGCCGTCCGCAGCCCGGCTGAGTGGGGTGCTGCGTCTCCTCCCTCACCAGCGTTGGTTCCTTCCCTCTCTGGGCTCCGGAGTGAGTGGTGCCTTCGTTCGCTCCCCAGCGATGGAAGCCGTGGAGGGGGAGGACGCACCCCTGAGACGCGGGCAGTGCAGATCAGAGTCTGGTGGCTCACGCCTGTCATCCCACTGAGGTCTGAGGATCGGGATTTGAAGCCAGCCTGGGCAGGAAAAGCTGCGACACTCCCATCTCCATTAAACTACAAAAAAAAAAAAAAAAAGCAAAAAAAGAGCCAGAAGTGGAACTGTGGCTTAAGTGGTGGAGCGGAAAAGCAAGGGACAGCGCCCAAGGCCAGAGTAAAGAGTCAGGCGTTTTGAGCCAGGGTCTCCCTGTGCTGCCCAGGCTGGTCTAGAACTCAGGGCCCCCTGACTCAGCCTCCAAGCGCTGGGCCCTGGTGCAGCCTCCACCCCTGCGTCACTAGTTTTCTGGGCTCCGTGTCTCTTTGGGGCACTAGGGCTTGAGCTCAGGGCTGCTCTGTGGTGGGGCCTCCTCAGGCTCCCAGATGCTCCCACCTCTGCCTACGTAGTGGGCCCACGGCTTCCCGTGCCGGGGCCCCCAGACCCCCAGTCCCTACAGTCCGTACGCGAGCTGGCCCAGGTGAACTGCTCTGAGTGGACGGGGTCCCTGGTCTCCCTCTGGGGTCAGTGCTGAGTGGGGGCCCTGCCCCCCCTTGCAGGTCAACTACAGAAACAACGAGGAGTTTGTGGTTGCGGTGGTCCTGAGTGAACAGCGGTGCCTGGAGGAGCTGAAGGAAGGAAACAAGAGCTGCGAAGGTGGGCTGCAGGGAGGACCCGGTGGGAGGGAGGGAGGGGAGAGGGAGGGAGGGGAGGGGGGGGGGGGGGTTAGGGTCAGGGCTGTGCAGGGGGGGTGGGGAGGGGGGTTAGGGTCAGGGCTGTGCAGGGGGGGTGGGGAGGGGGGTTAGGGTCAGGGCTGTGCAGGGGGGGTGGGGAGGGGGGTGAAGGAAGGAATGGGGAGGGGGTTAGGGTCGGGGGGAGGGGAGCGATGTCAGGGAGGGCAGGGAATGGGGTCCCCGCCCCACCTCGCCCCTGCCCTTCCCCCCCCAGCCCTGCGGCACAAGCTGGAGGCCCGCGCAGGCGCGCTGGAGGCGGAGCTGGCGCGGGCGCGGCCTGCGGCCCACCTTGGCCTTGAGGCAGGTGTCCAGGGCGTCCACCCGGAAGGCCACCTGCATCTTCAGCTGGTCCACCTCGCGCCTGCGCG